TTTATGGATGACCAAATGTTCTTCCATTATAGATTTTCTTTTATTCACTATTACCTTAAGATGTTCAAATTAAACCATATACGGAATTAGGTCTTGTGGGGGAAATATAATTGTTCTAGGAAATACATTTTCTTCTCAGGCTAGAGAGATTTTCTGAGACTTCAAAATCTTTCTGTTAAGGAAGAATAATTTTATGAGTGTGTGTTTCTGTATATCTAAGGAATTATATGTTTATTGGGAGGTAGATCTAGATAGACGATGGATGGATAATAAGCTTCTGTCTTCTTAATCTATTTCTTCTTTGCAATTTTGAGAAATCATGGCAACAAAAGAGCTTGTCATTTTCCTCAGTTCTATATGTAAAAACTCACAAAGGTAAAAGATAAGGAGGCATTTGTAAATTGTTCTCTTTCATATGCTCTGTGTCTTTCAAACTTAAGGATATTAGAACCTGTAAATCTGTTCTCTGATACATGGAGAAAATTATTCGATTAGTGGATTATTTCAGCATGATGATTAATTTTAATGAAGGTAGGCTGGGCTATTTTTTCTGGGTTTCATTGCACTGTGAAATGCCTCTCCTGCATTAACCCATAAAAGAGAGCTGTAAACATTAAGTGCCTATTTATTTTCATACTCTTTACTGTGTTGTACACGATAAATGAAACATGATCCCCAATCAGATTTGGCCTGGTTTAGTCTGTCTGTGATTTATCTCATGGGTGGTTTTTACTCACTGGGTAAAATCAGGACGTCATCCCCAGGGCCTGGAATGGTGTGGTTGTGCCCTCCCCAGCCCTCTTCCACACCTTGCCATGTGTCAGGGAGCGACCATTTTAAAGCTGATTCAGGAGCAGAGGTAGAAGCTACAAAATAAAAGAATATAGCAAAGTTAATTGTAAAAATCTAATTCACAATTTTGATAACGTCCAAATTCTATCCTTATTTTAGGATGCTGGTGGTATTTTCACTTCCCAAAGTAGCTGCCTTTTATTATTTTATAAACTTCTAGAAAAACATTTATCAGCTAAAAAACAAAGTAATTAGTCGATCCTTAGATTACCTTCACTTCTGGAAAATATACATTCCACTCTTATTACTAAACATTTGTGTTTTACCTTATTATAAATAGTACATATGCTTATCATGAAATATTTGGTAAATGCAAATAAAGAAAAAATAATAATTGCCTATAATCGTACCACTTTTCAATAATTGTCATTAACCTTTTATTTGTGTTTCCTTTCAGAATTTCTCAGTATTTTTACATGATTGAGATTGTACCATATCAAGTTTTTATTTCAGGTCTTATTTTGCTTAGCTTAGCCATTTTTCCTATGCATTTTGTAATATCATTAAAAATTCTTACAAACATTGTTTCAGTGGCTGCATATCATATAAAAACCCATAATTCATTTAATCTCTAATGTCTGGCATTAGGCTCTTTCCACTTCTATTTAGTTGTAAATAATGTGGTGTTAATTATCCCTATGCAAATCTTCCAATAATCCTGATTATCTTCCTCAAATAGATTCCTCAATGGAATGACTGAGTCAAAGGGTATGATCTTCCCACAGCTCTTAATGCATATTAAAGTCATGGTAATAATCTCGAGACTTTTCAGGGCAGTAGCTCACTCAAAGATCATACATTCCAACTGGTTTTTATTGATTCTGCCTTTGATGATCAAATGGCATTTTCTTTTCAATCATTTTACTGGCATCTTCATCAGAGAATTGAAACCTGAATCTAATAATTTCCAGTGGGGACTGTCCAGTGGCATGTCATGCCTAACACCACACTAAACTATATCCACTTGTTCTTTTCTGGGATGTGGTCACTGGTGCAGAGTCAGAAGGGCAGAGAGATTGTCTCAAAAGGGTAGGATGAAAAGCCCTCCTCTTTTGATGGGAGAGAGGGGACCTCATCCATCGCTTGCTAATTTCAGAAGCATGACTTGTGAGCACTTTCTTTATTAGAACTGCCTAAAAGAGTAGGGATACAAAAAGAAATAAAATGCCACTCATGCCTCCAAGAAGCTAATAGTGTCATGTTGGTAAATATTGGGAGGATAAAAACATACACAGGCATGGAGGGGAGTTCTCTTTGATGGTGCCTGACCAAGAAAGAATGCAAGACCTTGCTGGGAGAAGCTTCCAGAAGGAGGTAGTCTCTGAGTTGCATTTTAAATGTCTAGAAGTTCTACAAGTAAAGGGGAGGTTGTGATGAGGGTATGGCAAGGGGCTTGCACTGCAGACAAGGGATGAGTATGAGCAGAGACAAAAAAATGGGAGATCAAGTAGAGGAACAATAAGAAGTTTGGTGTTGCCGAACCACAGCTAGAAGATGGTAAGTGACAGGCTGCAGAACTTACCCGAGGCAAG